GGCAAATAAGTGACTTAGGGCCAATTTTCTCAATCGTCGACTATTTAAAATAGCTGGTCGCTGTCAAAATGTTTATGGACCTCTGTTATGTGATATCCGTCAGCTATTCTAACTGTGACCAACACTTGCAAGTGTCAGTTTTTACATATAACCGCAAGATATATATTGAACATACATAGAACGATTATTGTCAAATTTAGAGGTTAATTTTTTCATTATTTTTATTATATTATTTCTCAAACATTTTTTTTTTTAATACTTTTACAGCTTTAATTTCCATTTGACTTTAGAACTATACCTTTGTAAATAATTTAATATTGAAATGAAAAGATCTATTATAACGATAAAATATATAATAATTTAAGACAATTTTATAATAAGCTTCAAAAATTAATTAACAAATGTTTGTAATTTTTTAGGTTGTATATTTCCTCTACAGACACTTAATGCATCGGAATATGACGTCGATGAATTTCGACAATCCGGTGTACCGCAAAACAACGGAGGATCAATTTTCGTTAGAGAAAAACCACTTCCAGCCTCAAACGCGGCCATATTTAAGTACTGTTGGTGAAGAGGTAAGAGCTCTGACTTTAGATTATAGTAATATGATGGCAAGATAATCAGTGCGCCAAAATGAAAAATTCTTGCAAAAACAAGATCTTTAAACTTGATATTTCAAATTGTCTTAATTTATATTCGTGTAAATAGCTTATATTAATACACAGTCAATTTAAAATTATTCACATTTAATGTATCTGGATTACTTTTTAAAAAATGTACCAAATTGCCTTACATTTTTACTTTTTCTTGTTAAAATAAATTCAAACAAGCTGATTTTTCTACAAATTTCCGTAACGTTTTTTATTAGGAACAATTTTTTAATTTTAAATTGCCCTGTTTTTATCGCACAACAAAATTCCAATTAAAATATTCTCAAAATATTGATTTTCAACAAGTTCATCTTCCTTCATTAGAACCCTTTCTGCTCAATTTTTAAAGTTAATAATTTTGAATTGAATTTGTGCATTTAGTTATTGCGTGGATGTTCTGAAATTACAGACAATGCACAAACTTAGTTTAATTACAAAAAGAACTGTTTTATAGATACTGCACCTTTAAAAAATTCTAGTGTTTACAAATAGAGTTTTGTTCTTCGTTTTTAATGAAATCAGCAAGGAGATAGTTGCTGATTATTTTAAATTATATGCTCATAATGTTCATTTTGCTCAAATCAAATTTTTTCTTTGGTGACGGGTAATTTCAAAGATGCCACATTTTATTAAAGTTTTTTAAGACTAATTTATTTGTGATGAGACATATTTAATCCTTGTAATACTGTAGTGTGACATATTAGGTATTGTTTATTGTCTGTACTACGAAATTCCTGCAAAAAAGTACCGATTTATTTTTATTTATCTGTTCATCGGTATATTTTTGATAGGAAATCGGCAATTTTATAAAAATATGGTAGTTACATGGTGTACTTTTAATGTTAATATTTCAAAAAGGTATTTCCAGTACATATTATTACTTTTACAAATTATAAAGACTTGAGATGTTACATTTTACTATATTGGGTAAATTATACTCCTGTCCATTCAGTATTAGCTTCATATTGGATTGCAATCATATTTTTGTAACCAATTTATAAAATAATAAAAGCTGTGCCAACATATTTAGCTGGTAAAATTTAACAGTATTAAATATCATTTTATAATAATCGTAAATGTACCGTTTTTCTCTATTTTTTACTTTTTTATCCCACATTTGTTGTTCAAAATATTTATAAATAGTATTTTGTCATTAAGTTGCATGACTAAAAAATTATTAAGGGAATATTCAGCCCATTTTTAAACTCAAATTAAACAGGGTTTTGTGAAACCCTGTTATATAATCTTAAATAATGTTACGTGCCAAATTGTATATACATTATATATATTTATAGATAGAAAGTTATTTGCTGGCAAAATATAAATGGGATAGATAGTAGGATGCAATGTAACGTAAAAGAAATACTGATTTTCGAAGCTTAACAATACCTGACCACGAAGGTGAAGAATATTTTAAAGAGAATAAGAACTTTGATTGAAGTTTGGCATTGACAATAATTTACTTTAATATACATATTTTTGCACCATAATTTTCTACTAATCTCATTACAAACGAAAATTAATTGTAATAATTTTCAAAACTTTTAGTTGATTAATAAACGATAATCATACAACACGAATGGCTCATAATCATTTTTGGTACATTTGTAATCAACAAATAAATAATTACCATTTTTTCACAGTCCAGTTTTATGCATCTATTTCTGACAACACTTTCTAGACATATTGTTAGATTAATTCCATAAGGCAGTGATTTATCTTAGTGCTTCTTCGGTGCCAAATCTCTTTCACACCTTTCTGTCATAATTTTTAGTCTACCAGTACTTTTAACCTTAATTTTAGTAAATCCCGATAGGCCATGTTTCACAATGTTTCCCACTGAAGATTTGTCCATTTTCAGATCAGTCGTTATTTTCATTTCCTTCACTATATCTGTAACGTGTGGAGAGTGGGTTATCCTACGGCACTTAGGCCTCACTCTGTCCATTGTGCACCTTCCTAAGTAGGTTGAGACCTCCTAGCTCGTGAGTCGCCTACAGATTTAATGTAGCCAAGAGGTGCTTCTCTTATATGCTCGATGGTGACAGCACCATGATATGGAGATGCTTTCGTACTTGGCAATGACCAATCGGAATGCCTGTGATCAGGCGCAGATTCTGTCTAGTCATAATCAAGTATTTGTTTGCTGATGTGTTGTCAGGATTACTTAAAAGCTCCCTGACAAGTCTGCAGCTTCCCGATTCATCCCATCTTTCGTTGAATTTCTCAGGGGAATGTTCTTTTATTAGGTTTGTCACTACCGATGTTGTTAGTCCGATAGACGGGTCAGATCCAAAAAGTGTTGGTTTAGCTGCCTTTTCGGTTACTGAATCAGCAAGATGGTTACCTTTCGATGTGGCGCGACCTTTGATCCATCTTAAGTTGACCATATTGTTAATGGATAATTCGGCCAAAGCTTGGTGACATTCTAGTACTAACTCTGAATAAATTCGTGGTTTGTCCAGGGTGAGTAGTAATTGCCTACCGAAGATATTATTTCTGATGATTTCTTTTGCTACTATGAGAACATCTAACATTTATTGTAGGATAATGAAAATGAATGAATACATTCCGAAAATAAAGCTTTCTTCTACGTTATTGCTGATATCCGACTAAATCTACCCACTGATATAATACAGTATCTATAAACTGCTTTATACGTCTATATATGTATATATATTATATTCACCAGTTTTCTATAAATTATATAATTTATCTTAGGTTTATTAAAAATTCGATAGTTTAAAAAAAATATAAGAGTTTGTGGTACCTAAATGTTATTGTATAAAAATCTTAGTATTCTGGAAGTATTTTTACGAAAGTTATTTATGCGCAAATTATATCCATACTCTTCATTCTTTTTCATGCCACCATGATACCTAAAATTGGTGAGTAACATAGCCTACACATACATTTGCTGTACTGTAAAATAAAAACAAAAGTTTCATCAATTACCAGATCGGTTTTATATAGGGTTGCCACCTTTTTGAAAAGTTGAAAAAGGACTATGGTGCTGATAGGGGATCGGGTATACAAAAGGTCATCATCCTTCTAAAAAAAAGGTCCAGAGTGTGTAACACAAAAAAAGTCCTCTTTCTACCGAGCTTTCTAAAAATATTTTTTTGTACAAGTCAGATCCCTTTCAAAGATATCTAAGACTCAAACAGGACATATGCCGTAAAAAAGGTCATTTTAAGGTTTAAAAAGTCGCATGGGACATTTTGCTTAAAAACAGGACTGTCCTTTTCAGCAACCCTAATTTTATAGCACATGCATGTATGCTTCACCAACCAAGTTCATTTTCTCGTAGACTATAAAATTATAGCTACATTCACCCTATAAGTATTGATCGTACTTTTTAAATATATGTAATGGATTTTCCAATAAGAAGTCCCATTTTAAGTACAAAAGAAACATTTATTTATTCTCAAGTAATACAAACATATTTATTTCAACTAATGTACAAACTTTACACATGGTCATTCTTTTGAGGAAGTTCTGCGTGGCATTTTCACACATTTGAGGCTCTATATAGCGAATTGTGAACGTCTTGAGATAGACAAACCTGGAATTTCTGCGGCACTTTCAGCAACAGCGGCAATTTTTTGGGCTAACCAGACGATACGACTTGGAACTGGCAGTTTTTCATCAGTAACTTGGCCATTTTGCTTAAATTTTGCTATTAGCTTCACAATGCTTGCGAAAAGACGATTCATACTGACCAAAAACACTACGAATTTTAAGAACTGTCTTAGCGAAATCTTCACTATGCCTATAATTAATGTTTATACCTTGTAGCGTGTCTCGTGCCATTTTCTTACTGAAAAAAATGGGACTTCTTAAGAAAACCCGTTATATAGATATGTTATTTTTGTTAGCAATTTGAGTTTTTTCATCACATATTTAACATATCTTTTTATTATTTTCAGGCATCAGAACCATTAACAAAAATTTACCTAACGGATCCAGTTTAAGCCGATCTAGAGGGTAATAATGATTATTAGCCAAATATTCCTTGTTTCCAAAGACCAACAAGGCATTTTCAAACCTCTAGTTTTATATCTAAGACTGACTCAATGACATAGTTCTTAAAGAATACTCATTGATGTAGGAACGTTGCAAGATTGTCTCTCAAATCAACTTGTTAACATATATTTTTTTTTGTTATTTATTCCCCTTCAAAGTTTATTTTTGAAAGTTTATTGAATTTAAGAGGCAACCCTGCAATAGATTAGAGTTTTGAAAAGTATATTTATTATAATTTATATTAAATTTTTAATTCTCAAGAGTATTTTAGGGTTTTAAAGAGGTCTAAGACAAACACATGCTCGAGATTTTATTATAATTATAATAATTATGCTGAAACCTAATTTTCACTTACCAAAGTGTAGAATACATAACTAAAAAGAGGCAATACATACAGAAGTAGTATGATACAAGACGGTGTATTTAACAAGGGGGTTTATATACTTCTATTGTTAAAACTTTGTCTTGTGCATTTGTTCTAGTCTAAATCTTAAGTTTAATTCGAATATGCCAATTTAGGGTGTTGTTTTAAAAATGGTAGCACTGAACACAAAGTCGATTTATTACAATTCCAGTATATAAAGACTTTAAGTCACCGATCAGGTAGTTCATTATACAGGACAGGGCGTCCATAACATACTAAATTAATTTTAATTAAATGGTTTTTAAGTAAAAATTAGCTGCAGACATTTTTTTACTTAAAATTATTATAGAGCGGGTCGGGTCCTGAAAAAGCGCACAGGGTTATTTAGTATTTAGTACAAACAAACCTCGTGATCAAATCAATAGAATGTTAATGTTATGGGATCCCTGTAAATATTTAGTTGAATTTTATTAGTTATAAATTTTTCATGGTCGTTAATCGAGAGGGAAATTATCTTTTAGGGAAAGGAGGTAGCTTTGCTTATTTTTTGGCATAAACAGTTACTGTTATTGCGAAATTTGAGAGGGATTAACATTTTGGACATTACAAATCCTTCTCAGGTCAATTTTAATTGTTTATACTCGTATTTTTTTTGGTACATATTTTGATAAAATGTTTTAAGATTTTTAAAATAGTTTTATTGGATATTTTAATGAAACATTTTTTGGTATATCGATTTTTTACAACTGAAATGGAAATTAATTTATCTCACTACTCACATAATTCCAATTTGTAATTTTCTTTTTAATAAGTTTTAGCATATTTTTAACGTGTTTTTTTTGTAATGTTTAGGTTAAGATAATTAATAGGTTATTATGATTTTAATGAATTAAATTGAAAACTAACATCGGAAAATGATTATTAAAAGCAGTGTAGATGTATGAAAGAAAATGAATGCCAGAATAGTCGAGTACAGTTAAGATAAAAAGAGAAGGATTTTTGTCTTTGATCTCGGAAGTTAACTGAAACATCCCTCTTAATTTCCCTTTATTGCGATAGATTTTGTAATTTAGTAAAATTGAATTAAAATTGCGGTGTTTTGTTAGATAATTAAAAAAGAAAATAAAAGAAAGATAATAAAAGTACTACTTGCTTTAAAATAGTTAATGCCATTTAATGTGATTTTAGCATAACTTTTTAATTTGTTCAGATGTATATATTTTTGTGATTTTCTTTCTTGTATGAATTCTGAATGATTTTTTATAAATTCCTTAAATGTTATTTGTATATATTGTATTGTAGGCAATTTTTCTGTACATTGTTAATTTTAGATTATTGTTACTTTAAACATCCCATTATTTTTGTACAACTAGCAAAGAAAAATCAAAATCTAATGAAATTGTATATTTTTATTGATACATGGTGTCCGATCAACCTGTCAAACTTGAAAAATGTACCTCCAGTTATTTGCCTCTAATTTTAAACGTTTTTCTTTGTATATAAAATTTTATTTATTATATTTATTATAATTTATTATACAGTAGAAGCATTTGGCACCAATCTCATTTAAATTATAAGTAGTCAATTATTTATATTACGTATTTTTTTAAGGCTATTTGATAGCAAAGTTTGGCAGAAATGACACATCCTGTATTCAATATGACTCTGATAATATTCTAGCTCTAATATTCTGTGATTCCTTTAATTATAATTACATTAATAGGTAATAATGTTTTTACTGAGTTTTTTAAATTATTTATCCTATTTATCTTGGTTATTTTGTTTGTATATTAATTGTATTAATATAAGTACAGAATACATTTCGTAATTTCTTTTATTTATCTACTCCCATCCTGTAATATACTTAATACACAAAATTGTGGCGATTGCTCAGGGTTTGACAAATTCTTCCATGCTCAAAATAACACCCTTCCCAGGTAATTTTACTACTAAAATTTGTAATGAACCCCCTTTTTTTTTTTTTTTCATTAACTTTTAAATATTTGGTTTGTTCATTTTAAAAACGATTCTCTGTCAATATTTCGCACCAGGAGGTTTTTATAGACGACCGGCCCCGTAAACGAGGACTTTTTTGTGCTTGCACTTTCATGCGTTTCCTGGGGCCCTATTCTCGATTGTCTATTTCTAAATGTCACACGCGACATTGATGATATGTCGAACAAGAACGCAAAAACGTATTCTCAAATGTTGAATTCGACATTTGCTGTTAGACGTAAAGTCGAGTGGTATTCAACCAGTCGACATTTTAATGTCGCATGCCTTTTTTAAGATAATGTTACAATCTGAGTGTTGTGACAGTGATAATTTAGGTTTATTTTAGAGAGAAATGAAAATTGTTTTTTAAAAAATTTGATTTAATTAATTACAATAATTTCACCTAATTTATCAATCATTAGTCCTGTCTCTCCAAGAGATTTAATTTAAGAGAAAAAGATTATATCACAATCCTTTCTATTTAATCTCTTACAAAATTGCACTTCCAATTTTATATTTAATCCCTCTGTATGTTTCTATCCAATGTTACTATTATCCAATGTTACTATTCGCCAAATTTGTCACCGATTTTAAAATGTCTATTTGTCTTTGAGAATACGGATAGTGTCAGTCGATCGACATTTTGATAGACATTAAGGTGCGTCCTCACCGAATCGACTCTGTCTGTCGACTTTGTGTGTACTATATAAATCAATCGACATGTCGATTTGTTTTCCATCGCCTGTCGGTAAACATGAAAGAGCAGTCGATCGACTTTAGTGTGTGGACGTGTTTTCGACTTTGGTCAAACTGTTAGTACTGAGTACTAAGTACTCAGTACCGTTTTGCTCCGTTATGGGAATGGAAGGTCTATAATTGGTGTCTTCTTTACAAATTTTTGGCCCGATTTCTTGTAATAAATATTCAAATTCACTTTCCGACATTCGAAAAAAAATTCCAAAACCACCATTACACCTGTATTTAAAGCTCAATATGTTGACGTCATCTTTTTTAAATCTTCTATCAAATTACTAGCGTTGTATCTAGTTCTAGTTTGAAGACTTGGTCGAATCCAAAATCTTCTTTTTCGTGCGTTTTCTTTTTTTGTTTGCGATAATATATGCGGCACAAGTAACTATAATGTCATCTTCTTCAGACATGTTAATTTCGACTGATCGACAAACATTTCTGTCAACTCTGGTGTGGACAGATGTAGTTTTGTAGACTTGTTGATCAACAATGTCGATAGACAGAGTTGATCGGCAGTGTTGATTCGGCGAGGACGCACCTTAAGTAGTAGACATTATGACGAATGCGACATTTTTAATAGACATTCGAGAATAGGGCCCCTGTATGTTCTTTACTGCGTTCCCGAGTGTTTGAATGTGAGATTCGTAATCAAATTATAACAAGTCTATCGATTTCTGCTTCAGTTCATTACATTTATATAAACTTTTTGTTGTTCTACAGCTTTCTTCCACAAATAAATTATAGCAATAAACACAATTTAAATATTTAAGAAAATAATTAATCTACCTAATGCTTTCTTGAAAAATTTGTTGAAATATCTCCAATTTACTTGTATATGTTTAACTTCATTTCATCCATTAAATTTTTAATCAAGAAGGCTAGCTTTAATTTTGCTGTCAGTTTAGTAATTTTAATTTTCCTGTCAAAGCTTGTTAGTTTTCAAGAAATTGGGTTATTTTGCATACATGAACATGGATATTTTTAGTTTTTTCTCTATAAATTCATATTAGTGTCGTGTATTAAGTGAAAGAGTGTTTCGATTATTTTCTGGAGGTTTAGAATGGATCAAGATAGTTTAAATAGCGACCGAACCAGAATTATTACTAATAATTGTAAGTTCACTAAATAAAATCTTTATACACAGTGGAAAGTCTAACTGGAACAAATTCTGTAACTTGATAAATAAAGAGGTTTGTCTCAAAATTCCTGAAACACGTCAATTTTTATTTTCAATGGGGCATATTACAAAGAGATTTGTTTATTTATCTTTTTAATTATCTGGGGGGTTGCAGACCCCCCAACTTTTTTTTTAATGGAAGTGTAGGTTGATTAATTTTTTATTTGAAAGCTTCAATTACAAATACAATTACATTTTTTTTTGTTACTTTCTACAAGGTGGCGCAAAATAAAGTCCCCTTCTATTTGTTTTTTATATAAAAGTAAGATTCATTAAAAAACAGTCATATTATAAATGAAAAATATTTAGTTAAACTCTAAAAATTTGTTTTGTTACACACTAAAAACAATATCGACCAAATGGCCACCCCCGGCATTAATGCAATAATGAGCTCTTTTTAAAGCATTTTTTATATCTTTCTCCGATATTTCAGGTGGTATTCTGTCAATTTCTTCTCGGATGTTGTCTTTTAATGCTTCTAGTGTTCGAGGATTATTTACAAATACCCTATCTTTGAGATAACCCTATAACCAGTTAAAAATTTTACGATTTCGGCTCGTTCTCAAGGCGTATATCGATTCATAATGAATTTCCAGGGCCGACTAGAGGGGGGGTAGCCGGGACCAATTCCCGGAGCCCGCACTCAAATGGGGGCCCGGCAGCGGTATAAAGGGGACCTGACAACCGGATATTTGTTTGTATGAGCAGTTCGGCACAAGACTAGAGAGGAAAAGTGTTTGTTTGAGGACCTTTTTTTGAGGAGGAAAAGTTTTTGTTTGAAGACTTTTTTTAGAAAATTTATTGTAATATAGAGGAGGAAGAGGACTTTTTTTTTTTTTAGAGGAGGAAAAGTTTTTGCCACGGGGCCCGATCTAGCGAATTGTACTGGGGCCCGGCCTGGCTCTCGGCGGCCCTGTGAATTTCCCAAGTATCTACTTTGCAACTGACAGAAAAACTCGAATAGATGTCAACTACAGACGAAACCATGACAACATTCCATAGGGTACTTGATTTTGCGCCACCTTGTATAAGCAATGTGTCGGAAAAAAATTAAATCAGGAAATATTTACTGAAACTACTTTAATACAATAAATTTTCAAAGTGCTCTCCACCTGACAATATCCTAATAGATTATAAATAGCATTCCGAACATTTTGTAACACTTCCGGCGTTAAGCCCTTCTTTCTCTGAACAGATCGGCCCGAAATATTTCGGTGATCTAGCACGAAAAGTTCGTTAGCGTTTTCGGTGAAACCTAGTGTATGTGCAGTATATAGTACCGGTTTGTATAAAAAACGTGACCAAAATATCGGAAAGCTGTGTGGTTAGTAGTTCGTTCGAATCAATCGGTGTTTGGTTTGAACGATTTTAAACGGCACAGTTCGCCGAACTTGTTAAGATTTTTTGGCGAGAATTTTATAAAATAAGGTATTTAAAAGTAAAAAGATGTCGGGCGGGAATAAATATCATAAATTTCTGCGCTGGAGGATGAAATATTAATACAGAAAGTGAAAGAAAATCCTCCGTTATATGCCAAAAAATTAAAAAGTTACAAGGATATGAAAATGAAAGACAATATTTGGGCAAAAATTGCCAGGGAAATTGGAGAATGCGGATTTAAAAGAACATGTATGTTTGTACAAGCTAAAATAGATTATTTTTATATCTACGAATCTATCTACATATTATTTTTAATCTATGTACTTACCTTAATGTGAGACATAACTTTTCCTTGGCAAAAATTGGAATCGGATGTTTATTTGTAGGTTTTAAACTGATTTCATCCTTTATCTGATTTAGTATAGTATGGAATAGTCCTGGAGTTAAACGAAAAAATTATCTAAACTTTGTATCATTATCCAAAAGATGCATTCATAAACAACTTCTTTGGCTCTATTCTCAAACATTTTCCAAATTTTATTATTTTCAGTACATACTTCTAATAATGCAGACTCGCCATCATTATCCTGTTCTTCTTCTAACATAATAGCACCCAAAAAATCCATTTTTTTTTTATTTTGATCCCCAAAAGCACCCTACAAATTTTAAAGACTTATAATATCCTAACAAACAAATCTTCAGACAAACCACACACACATGAACTGCTGATAACGCAGAACGGCTCAGGTCCTACAAAGGGTGTTTGAGCCCCTTTCCTTTCAAGACTATCTACAATCTCGTTACCCTGTACCCCGTTATGTCCCGGGACCCAAGTGAGAGTATCACTATTTTTCTCGCCTAGCTCATTCCATTGTTATAGGCATATCCAGGCATATAGCTGATTACGTAAGAGCTCAGCGCTTTGATGGATGCTTGACTATCGGACATGATGATAATCTCTTGTCTATGATAGTTTCTCTCGATGTTAAACTGGATACAATTCTCGATGGCGTGAATTTCCGCCTGGAAGATGCTTGGGTAGTTTCCAAAGCTTTCGGAGTGCTTGGTTCTCGGTCCATACACTCCTATTCCAGTTCGTTCTATGGTTTTGGAACCGTCCGTATACCACTGAATAGCACGTCTTTCGGTAGCAAGCGCAATGGATTCTTGGCTCCATTCTTTCTTGCAGTCCAGCTCTGTGGTTTTGAAGTTTTTCACAAAACTGTACTTCTTTAGCATTTCATCCTGGGGCATGTCCCAGGTATCTTTAGTCTTGAAGCAAGTAGACTTTCGTCTGATTACTCCTTCCTGATCATTCTATATCGTGTCCTTTTTGCCACATTCTCTATCATCAAATGTAGAGGGGTGAGGTTTAAGATCACCTCCATTGCGGCCGTAGGACAGGTTCTCATTGCACCAGTAATACAAACACAGGCTAGTCTTTGTACTTTTGAGATATTAGCTCTCATAGTAGCTAAACTAGTTCTGTTACTCCAGGCTATAGCCCCGTAAGTGATGATTGGTGTCACTATTGCAGTATACATTCATTAGAAAACAGCACCCATTCCAAAGCAATTTGTCCATCATCCATAGTTCTTTCACAAAATTCGAGTCTACCATCAGGATCATCTTCGTTAAGCTCGTGCGGGTTTTGCATCTTATATGGGTGCTATTTGTCTTCTTTAAAAAATTTTAAAACGCTTGTGTGACTGACATCATGAACGCGAGCTATTTGCCTAGCTGGAGTAACAGAACCTTCTTCAACTTCCAACAATATGTTCAATTGGGCTTCTTCGTCGATTTTTAAAAGCTTTTGTCGAGGAACAGCCGTTACGTGGTCCAACTCCCAATATCGACTTTCAATTTTGCTAATCGTACTTCAATTAATTGAAGGGAATTCTGGGTCTGCAACCCCCCAGATAATTAAAAAGATAAACAAATCTCTTTGTAATATGCCCCATTGTAAATAAAAATTGACGTATTTCAGGAATTTTGTGACAAACCTTTTTTTTATCAAGTTAGAGAATTTGTTCCAGTTAGGACTTTTCACTCTGTATATGAAGTGTGCCATATGCAAAACGTCGTAAGTCGCACTTTTTTGACAAATGCAGATTTTGAGCTAAATAGGTAGTATAATAACCTGTGCTTTATTTGCACAATAAAAATCATATCGATGGCACTTTACCAAACGGAGATGTAGTAAGTGCTAAATTAGCTTAAAACTCCAAAAAGAAAATAAGTTACATCTTTTGAATATTCCAGTATCCTATCAAAAACGTTCAATGGATGTCATTTAGTCATTGTTTAACTTTTATTTCGTGGATGTCCGAATATAAATAGGAAAGGGACGACTTTTGAATGATCAAAAGTGTGCCACTTGACGTCCATTGGACATCGAAGTCCAAAAAAATTTCATTTTTGGATCTAAAATGTATATCGAATGCACATATCAGTGCTATCATGGTTGCCACAGACTCATACTTAAAAAAAATGTGAAATTTGAGAAGAAGATAAAAATATGAAGCTTAAATCAAAAACAAAAATTGTGTTACGTTTTTATTCACAAGTAAAAGTGTTTATATGCACACAATGAAATGTATATAGGCACAGTTGTGTGTATATATTCACTTTATATAAAGTATAAAATGTTTACATTGCCTAAGAGTTACAAATTAAAAATATTTTTGACATATTTTTCATATACAACGATTCTTTTCAGGTACTAAATTAAAAAATTAAGTGATAATTAGTGGAATTTTGGCGGGGATCGCATAAGTTTTGTATACAAGTCGGCAGTATATAAAATACAATTATACATACAGGGTGGGGCCATTAGTGCAAAGAAGTCTAATATCTCTTATCGTAATAAAATAAAAGTTATAGGTTTTACTTTATTGCATATTTATAAATTACTGTGAAATATATAGGGTGTTTCGTTACACCGGGACACTGCTTCGTTTTGGAAGTAATTAGGTTTCACATTTTCGGATTCACAGACTTTAAACAATTCAACCATAGCCTCCATCAAAAGAAGGACTTGTACAGTGAACTATAAGTTAGACATGAGCCACAATAGATCCAATTGGGTCACAGTGGAAGTCGATGAGATTATCCTACTTGTTTTTAAGCCTAATCTTACACCGGGACAGCTTAAATGGCAATGATTTTAAATGAATCACCCCGTATATTGTTTACACCATCGATTTCATAGTAAAATGTTTCGTGCAATACTTTTTACTACTGCGACGTCAATTTATAGTCAAAAACTTTGTATTGGGTAGTAAAGTTAAAATATTTAGTAAATACAAAAATAAGGGTTAGCTTAAACGTCGACTCGGAGAGGATCAAAAGTGTATTTTCATGTACAGGCGATTTTATACATTCTTTAAATATCTACAACTTCATTTTTCAAAATGAGCACCCAGAATATTATTTCACTATTTGTTATAATAATTTAGGCCCTAAAAGCGAGTTTTTAACAAATTTTTATTTTAATTGAAAACTTAAAAATAATAGATAAGAAAATATTGGACTTTCTCGCATTAAATGGCGACCTTATATAATAAACCACCAATTTAAAAATATCTTACTTCTGTTTTAGGAATTGGCACATTTTATGGACAGAGTGAGGATTAACCTCAAATAATGCCAAAAAATTATTATCTGATAGATTAAATGGAAGTATTAGATTGGACAGATTCCTTAAAAAACCTAGATTATTACAGTAAGCATTTCGACATCATTTTCTATAAATCGTCATCACCTATACACTCGAATGCGTGGTTCTCGATGAATTCTCGTCCATTCTTAAAAGATACGCTAGAGAATTTTTCTTGCAACTTTTTTATCGAAAAAGACTCTTGGTATTTAGGTTCGTGCACACCCTCCACCTGTATAAAAAAAAATATATTTATAAAACAGCAATTGAAAATGTGATATTTTTATGCAACTCATTCCTCAAAGGAAATTGAAAGATTTTCCAAGAACAACTTTTTATTTTGGGTCCTGTTGACATAGTAGTAGAGTTTTTGGATAAATTTGTAATTTTTGATATATTTATTTATTTTAGAAACAGGAATGAACCTAATTACATGTTTCTATGAATACAACAAAAATAGAAATCAACAAAAATACTTAATTAAAGTTAGAATAAACAAACATCGCTACTACAAAGTTTTTAACAAAATTCATAGGAACAAAATCTAAAATATTCACAGCGCTACCAAACCCCAAACCAAAGCTACGGAAATCCTCACAATCATATCATTTTGGTCCAACAATTTTGCGTTTGCGTTTTTTAGAGATTAGATAACTTTAAAATTAAGGATAAAAAACTAATCGGGTTTTTCAGCGAATATTTCGAACACATGAAATGCTGTATTCTTGACAATTTCTAAACATTTAAACACATATTTTGGTATCCATAAGTATATAACTATATCCTAATAAACTCACAGGTTCAAAAATTGAGTTGGGTTAATGACATCAGCTATTCTCGATCAAATGCGCTATTATGATAACTTTATTAAGGCTCTCACTAAACACTTTTGAACGTAAAAATACACAGAACCAATTATGCACAATGTGCGTTTATTAATCGCTTGTGCAAGAACTATAATAAATTTTACTCGAAGTGTGATATATATTTAATTGTAATATTTTAGTGCTTGCAACTTCTAAACATCTAAGTTTTACTTATATTGTCCCGTGGTGCTGTAGTGTTTTTCCTTTTTTTATATTTTACAATTTTTGTTTAACTATCTCATTACAATAACTTGCATCCCTTGTTCCAACAGTTGATACTCTGAATGAGCATATTAAGAGGGTTTATTTAAACCCAAATGTGGCTTTGGAACAATACAATAATTCATCCAACTGATTGAGGATGATTTGAAAATAAAGAATCTTTACATCCAAATAAAAATATTCCTGCATCACCAAGGGTCGATTCCACCGTTGTGTTAAACGGAGATTAAAATGACATTGTTAATGTAAAAATGTCATTTTAAACTTCGTTTAACACAATGGTGGAATCGGTCCTAATTAAAATTATATTTTGTAACTGAAACTTGGTTCTAATGGAATGACAGTTGGTAGGGACCTACTTATTTAAGGGCTATTTAAAACTTTCAAAGAACGATTTCTGGTACCTTTTAGATATTTTGGATATTAGACAAAAAATGTGGCTGCAGCTAGATGGTGCTCCCGTTCATTTTTCTCATAAGGTCACGACAGATATAGGAGAGGTCCTACTAATTGACTCGCTATATCATTTGATCTAACCCCTCTAGATTTTTTCATATGGGGACATGTACAAAGTTTAGTTTATCAAACTCAGCCAACCACCGCCGAAGTTAAACACTTATTTGTGATGCTTTAGTGTTATTATTTCAGAGATTTTAAGTAATTTAAGTAAAAAAAATTAAAAGCGAATCAGAATGTGCAATGGATCAAATATTTATATAATTTTGTGCCATTTATGACCATTAATTTTAAAATTTCAAAAATGTATTGTGCCTAGAAAAACTTTGTTTTTAATATTATTTTAAATGGAATTATGGAATTTCTACTTTTGAATCATATATTAAACTTTTTTTAATACCTGACTTATCCACAGGACAACCTATGTCATTTAAAACTAGAAATCAAAAACTACAATTTCCACTACTCATATTTATTGATAAAATGCCAAAGAAAATCTAAACTAAGATATTTTAGCTTTCCGCCGTTTTTACTATACATGCAATAAGATAAATTTTCGTAGAAACAAATTATTTCACTTTCTATAATTTTAAAATCTTGGAAAAAGACCAATGTTGAAGAAAGGATAAAAAATATACCCCATTATGAAGAAAAATTGTCACTTATTTACTTTAACAAATGATAAATCTATAGAAGTTCTTATACATACCTCGTTATCTAAATTTATATTATCAATGGATATTCGGTGGCTGGAACCATCTCTTTTCATATAGGACCAACTGCCTTTGATACTAAATGACGATTTCTTCTTAATACCATTCTTTTTCAAAAGTAATTCGTCAACAAGGGATTGAAGGCAAACGGACATCAATATTGCTTGTTCACTTGATATGGTTATCCATTGCAGTTTGTCTTTTGACATAAGATATTCAAATGATAATTCTAAACTTGAGTTCGAGCTTGATCTGCTGTTTGCAGCCATTTCCTGTTTATTCTAAAAAATAACATGGCCTAGGTATACAGAACTGCTACAAGCGAAAATAAAACATGCTGATATGTATGGAAAAGGTCGATTATCTTCTTAAGCAAGATAGCTAGTGAAAAATGATGAATACAAAAGTTTTGGTTTTTTTTTTTTAAATCTATTACAATAAAGACAAATTAAGTATACATGGTTAGTCAAAAATTAATGACAAAAAAAGTTGCTTTTTATTTAATGGAACACCCTGTACATTATTCCATATTTCTACACAAGTTTATATTGATATTAAATACGTTATAAAGGTGATTTTAAAAAACTCCAAAATCGTGCAATGTCTGCAAATTGAACAATTTTATGATTTTCTCATGGATCCCATTTATCAGATCTTGACCAAGTTTATATGGGACCACCCCTGAGATACCCCTCTTTCTATCAAAAAACCATAGAAATCGGCTAACAAATTTTTTAAAGTCTGTTAAAAAAATGTTAAAATTATCTAGGTGTAATAATATAATTAGAATAGTACTATTAATCTTTGTAATATAATAATAAAAAGCAAAAAGTTTAACTTACATGTGTGGCTGTGATTCTCCAACATCTCATTCTAGTAACCTTAAAGCTACCTTCTTTAACCATCTGACCATTACCAATAATCCTCATACTCAATTCTTGGTCCCCAATGGCAATCAAAACTTTAGTTTGCGTCTTGGGATAATCACAGTAACATGGCATAAATTGTATAAATCCATAATATTTCAATTTCTGCGCTAATTCAATATATTCTTTTTTCGCCAAACTCACTTGCAAACTGCTAAGTTTGGACTTGATATCTCTGGTTGCTAATATCCATCCTTTTTCAATTTCGATTACAGTTTGGACGTACAGTAAATTTAGAGAGACAGGATCATTCATTAATTCAAAGTCATATGCAGAATCCCAATAACTAAAATATAGTCAAGTAAAAAGAAGAACTCGTTTTAAAAGATAATATCATTTTCATCCCTTGTTGCATAAACTACTATTTTGATTTTAACATAAAAAACACTAATGAAAGTAGATTAATATGAATATTTTGCTTACCTTTTCCTTAGCACAATTTTATTGGCGTCCTTTAGGGATTTATGTGACATATAAGGGGATTCAAAGTCCAATAATTTCCTTAAAATAATAACTTCGCCGCTATTGTCCTTTTTAATGAGAAATAGAGAGAAGTATTGCAGATATTCTAATGGTAAATTGATATACTTAAATACTTTAGCAAGTACTTGTTCAGTTCTGTCATAGGAAGACACCCATATAGGTATTTGATAATTGTTCATAGTATAAATATCTAAGTTTATGTCTTGTTTTTTCTCACATGTTGTTTCCTGTTGTGCAGATAGTAAAAATCCTATTATTAATTCTGATGATACTAGTTTTGAGTCTTGACCAACTAAAAATTAAAAAAAAAAAAAATGCAAATATCTGTAATATCACATTTGACTACATTTTGCGATACTTTGTTTATAACTTTTCTACATATCGCTGCTCAGTGTTAAATATATTCATTACCAATAAATACAGGGTGATCGTTAAGTAAGAGTATGTGGACAAACTTAAAGACGCTCTTCCTTACTCATAATTTAATTTATTTACAATTGTTATCTTGTTTTTTTTTAATATTTAATTTTTTCTTGTTTATGTTAATGTGTATTTCTTTGATTCGACATTCTCTAAGTGTAGGTTAGGTTTTAAATTTTCCTTTTTATTAAACTTGTATTTTAATTGGGCAATTGCTCGTTGATAAATAAATAAATAAACTGCTTTATTGTTAAAATATATAAAAAAATGTTTTTCCTAAATATCTAGAAGACGAAAATTAGTATTAAGTTGAAACTTAGTGAAATGTTTTACTGCAGCAACAGGAATTGTTTATGCAAAAAGTTTTTTCGTTTTACCAGTGGCGTCCGATATTCGTCAAATATTCACTCCGTTAGAACATTGTATCTCCCTAAATATTGCATTTTGAAGAAAAAGTGTATTTTTAGTGCAATATAAGAACTAGACATTACCTACCGACGTGACAACAGCCACGAGTTACAGCCATGAATTTGACGGCGGGAACCAAAGCGCCGGCGGGAACCAAAGCGCCAGCGGTAATCAATCCATGGCTGGGCCGTGAATGCATGGCTGGGCCGAGAAGATTTAATTTATTGTAAACAAACTGTAATAAATCGTATGTATCTAAATTACAAAAAATTATTTACCCTTTATATTAAACACTTAAAAAATCTTTACTAGCTTAAAATGCAATTAAACTAATATTTTTATAAACAAATTAGCTTGTATTTATGTCTTCTATTTGATGTATATATTTTTCCGGGCAGGAACTCACCCTCAAATCCAGCCCTTACATTAAACACTTAAAAAATATTGGCCTGCTTAAATTGGAATAAAATGAAACTTTTTTACTTTCCTATCTGTATACAGATATAATGAAAGTATAGGAATCATGATTTTTTTCGACCTCGAGTTTTCGACGGATTTTTACGTTTTGAGGTCCCCTGAATCCGTTTTGACTATTTTCGCGATGATGTCTGTGTGTGTGTGTGTCTGTAGGTCACATAACTCATGAACCGATACACAGAAAAACACCAAATTTTAAAATTAAGCTTTATTCCAGCGTCTAATGAACTGATTAGATTTTGGGCAGAGTCGGAACATCTGGGGGGTACTTTATAGGTGGTCATTTTTATATTTTATGGAATATATCTGTTATTTACGTTTGGAGAAGAAAATTCTTCAAATAAAAGTTACTTATAATATAATTATCTATAATTTTTGTTCTATACAAAATTTTCCTAAAATGGTCCGTATTCGAGAAATTTGACAAAATGTAAAAAAAATATTTTTTTATAAAAATTGTTCAAACAAAAGTTGTTTGCAATATAATTCTCTATAATTTTTATTCTATACATAGTTTCTCTAAAATGGACCGTATTCGAGATATTTGAGAAAATGTGTAAATTTCGAATTTTGAAGAAAACTCAAAAACGGATAAATAAAAAAACATTAAATTTTAAAATTAAGGTTTATTTCGGCCTGACGTGAAATGATTAGATTTTGGACAAAGTCGGAACATCTAGGGGGTACTTTATGGGAGGCTGTTTTTATATTTTATTGAATATATCTGTTATTTATGTTTGGAGGAGAAAATTGTTCAAATAAAAGTTACTTCTTATATTATTATCTATAATTTTTGTTTTATGTCAAAATTTCCTGAAATGGTCCGTATTCGAGAAATTTGACAAAATGTGCAAAATTCTGATTTTTATGAAAATTGTTGAACTAAAAGTTGTTTGCGATATCGATCTCTATAATTTTTGTTTATACATGATTTTTATAAAATGGACCGTAATGGAAAAATGCTAAATTTAAATTTTTCAGTATTTTCGTTTTCAATGAATATCTATAGAAAAATGTTTCGAGGTAGATGTATGTAGACAATGTATATATTTAGTTTATCATCTAAACATTTATAGAGATGCTGCAATAGGTTGTATAAAATAACCAGAAAAAGCCTATAAAAACTAGATAGGAAAGTCATGTGTTGGACACATCAGATTTTTTATATAAATTTGATAATATTTATGTACTCAACCTAATAAAAAATTAATTTACTTGCATTTTAAGTCAGTAAAGACTTTTTAAATATTTAATATAAGGGGTTGATTTGAGGGTGATTTACAGCCCGGCAAAATATTTTGAGATATATATTAGGTTAAGCACATAAAGATTATAAAATTTATATAAAAAAATGTTCATTGTATTCCAATTTAAGCAGGCCAAGATTTTTTAAGTGTTTAATAGAAGGGCTGGATTTGAGGGTGATTTCCTGCCAGGCAAAATATTCTAACATATATATCAAATAGAAGACATAAATACAAGCTAATTTGTTTATAAAAAAAATAATTTACTTGCATTTTAAGTCAGTAAAGATTTTTTAAATATTTAATATAAGGGGTTGATTTGAGGGCGATTTACAGCCCGGCAAAATATTTTGAGATATACATTAGGTTGAGCACATAAAGATTATTAAATTTATATAAAAAAAAGTTTCATTGTATTCCAATTTAAGCAGGCTAAGATTTTTAAATGTTTAATATAAAGGCTTGTTTTGAGGATACGATTTATTATAGTTTGTTTACAATAAATTAATTCTTCACGGCCCAGCCATGGAATCACGGCCCAGCCATGGACTGATTACCGCTGGCGCTTTGGTTCCCGCCGTCAAACTCATGGCTGTTGTCACGCCGGTACATTACCTAATATTTAAATTCCAGATTATTCCTAACCAATTCTAAATAAAAGAAAGAGACAGAATCATAACATTTTTATAATTAAATAGACAACAAAATAGTTAAAACAAATGTTACCTTTGCATTTTGGAAGATAAAGTTGTAATTGCTTTTTTACTTGTTTTATGTAAAAATTATACATATTTAACAAATATAAAGTGGTATATCTATACATTAGACAACAAAGGATCTGCAAATTTCACAGTGGGCTAACATTTACCTAGGGTGACCAGACCATATTTATTTTTGACCCAATGCTGGATGTGAAAGGTGAGAACTTTTTTTTTACCTCCCCAACCCAATTATAAACACAAAAACAAAGAAAAAGAAGTCATGTAGACAAGTCTCTTATTTATTACTTTAAGTAAATTATATATTACATTTGCTGGACAATAATGGCATTTTGCTAGACAAATGCTGGATAGACTTTGAAAATTCTGTACAATACAGCAAAATGGTCATCCTACATTTACCTCATAGTCAAAATCCACCTTGTCTTTGAGTATGCAGATCTTTG